TTGAAAATCTTTTTCTCTCAACCATTCATTACGAATCTCATTATCTTATTGTGCTGTGAACCAGACCCCGAGGAGATAAGCCTCGTCCATGACTTGTTTGATGTGTAAACAGATAAGCTATTCAGCCATCTATCAAAAATGCTACTGCGCATATGTTTGTGTACGTGTGTGTGTGATGTGCACCAGAAACACATTACAGTGCAGCAGCTTACAACGACAAGTGAGTGACTGATTCCCGACCGTCCTCTTACTTAGCATTCAGTATTACAGCGCTGCCACTGAGCGCTATCAACGGACCTGCGCTTATCAATCTCTTCTGCTCTGATGCAATGAAGTGAGACTGTAAGGTGGTCACGCCGCTTCACGCCTCAGCAATCAATATCTCCGCACCTACATCTGCACTCGATGTTTTCTCCGTGCCGGCTACAGCGCATGCGAAACAAAGATGATGAGAGAAACATGACGACTGAAGGAGCTAGAATCAAAGTAAATAAGAGTGGAGAGTCAAAGAAGATAAAGGCCTTTAGGAGGCAGGTGGGGTCTTATGAAAGATGCTGTGAAGATGAAGCGTGGGTAATGTAAGCATAAGTAGATTAATGTGTTTCAATAATTTTTACCTTTGCTAAGGAGGTTGCATATTCACCCGTTTGTTTGTTTGTTAGCAGGATTATGCAAAAGCTCCTGGACAGATACTGTAATTAGATGATTTCATTTGAAGATGATAGAAGAAGATATATGTTATGTTAAGTTCTGTACAAATAAAGTTATTATTATTATCATTATAGTTGTTATGATAATTATAATATATATATGGTCTGATTATTATTATTGTTGTGCCAATTTTTTGCTTTTATTTATTTTTGTCATCTGAGCAGTGAAAATCAGGCAGGAGCTAAAAAATTTTTGTTGCATATTTCCCACAAAGAATCCACAAAATTGGTCATTAACACAAAATTGGCTGCATAGCGGAAATGTCCATTACAATAAGTTAAAAATGGAACTGGTGCAGAAGATATATGAAAATAAATGTCTTTAGCTAAATGGAATAGACATTTCATATGTGTAATCGTTCAGGCATGTATTTAAATTAGGTTCAAACCAATCAGGAGCCTCAACCTAATCATCAAGGATTCACAATCACAATCCTATTTGTATATACGTGCATAGATTTCTGTGTTGTGCCAATGCAATTTCCCCATCCTCGCTTGGGATTAGATGACATCACTAATTTACAGACACATACATCTTCTTCCAGTATGTGTACAAAACAAGTGGGAGAATGAACAGAACCATTGTACATATCAATAAAGAGGGTTTTTTCTCTTCTCCCAGGCTTTCTCTGGATAACTGGTTAATTTATATGTCTCATACATAAACAGGTCAGCATTTGCACATTATCCATCAAAATCTACATTTCGTACACAACAGACCACCACGCAGTTCAGAAAAAAGGGCGACAGCAGAAAACTTGTTTTCTAAATCTCCAACAGCACATTTAACCCACCTGCTTCTTGTCTTCTAAATGCATCTCTAGTTTCCACAGTCAAGGTAACATGTCGGGTGGGCTTTTTATCATTGTGACGTAATTTCTATACAACCTATTACACAAAGTGTAATTGCTTTTCCATGGTATCTAAGTGCAGGGCTTTAAATAACATGTTTTGATCCTTGATAACAAACCTTTTACTTTACATGAGGGGAACAAGACGTGTTCAGCAGTGGATACTAACATGCAGTGCAGAGATTGACTACTGTTTGATACAATTACACTAAAACAAGCTGGGAGAGCTCTGTTGCTGTTTAGCAGCATCACTTTGATTCAGGAGTTGGTTAAAGCAGCGCTGCACGTGTTTGTCTGTGTGATCAGTGCTCTGTGCCCTTTTCTGTGCTGTTAAACAATATGTACAAATCTTGGATGGAGGGCAGCCGGCAGTCGACTCCGCTCTCGGCCATTTGAATGTCACGGTGCAGGTTTATATTAGAGCAGGGCAGAGCATGGACAGAATGTTTCCTTGTTCAATTAATGGTTCCTGGAACTAAAGCTTAAGATCTTATATTGTTACAGTTTGTCATCTGCATCATAGATTAACAGTGAAATTTGATGACAAATCTACAGTGTTCTAGTGGTGTGTAAGTATCTATATTAAAGTATATATTTTTTATCTACCTTTTTTATCAGTTGATTGGGGATTGGAGCTAAACTGTGAATAGAAGTTTTGTGTATATAGATGGACGACATGACGGGTCCAGGTGGCCCCCTAGTGGCTAGCTGCAGGATCATAATCCTTGCCTCCTCCATGTTTGCAGATGGGACATGGAACAAAAAAGTCAACATTACACGTCCACTAAAAAAAAATATTTCTTATTATAAGTGTCAAACGCCACGAATGACAGCTGAGACTGACCTGCGATTGGTCAAGCGTGTGTGTATCGGCGGGACCTCACTACCACCGCTGTATCCCCAATCGCTACTGCGACTCTGGCTCTAAAAGACCTCATCAGTACAAGATGGCAGCGTTCGTTTCCAGGATATTTGGCTTCACTTCTGGAGTGTTAGTAATTTTAGAGGCGTCATTGATCTGTGTGACCGTAGACTGTGTAAAAAGATGGACTGCATAACTTATACCCACAGGTTAAACTACAACATCTGTTTCCCCACCTAGTGGCAGGCAGTTGCATAGGCCAATAATCTTGCCTCCTCCAGGTTACCAGATGGGACATAGACCATTGATGTTTGGTCAAACATGTGTATCCGGATAGTGGGAGGACGTGGAGAGGCATTGTCTTTATATACAGTCTACGTGTGTGACTCATTAAGGGAGTGCAATGTATTGTCCATCAGTGGTTTGAACTCTTAACCTCAGAGAGCAAACTCAAGGCAAAATAAACGGCTCAAACTGGTCAATCCTGCAGTTTGGTTTATAAAAGTTGTTGTGTTGACATGCTCTGTCTGTTTAACACAGCAGCCTGTTTGCTGTCATTGCCGATGCACAATAATCCCTCTCAAGGGCCCAGCTGCCAGTCAACACTTCAGCTAATGGATGTGATTTGCAGAGTTGTATCAGGAACAAACACGCACTCAGAATTATTTGTCTTTGACGCTTATTATACGCCAGCAGAATGTGATTTGTTAAATGTGAGGAGGCAAATATTATTGTTTGTTTTCCAGCAGGGTTGTTCTTTAATATTCCAAATTAATATTCCAAATTATCTTCATATGCAGCTTGTAGAAATATTAAAGAAAATAAGACAGTCTCATTCCAACAACCACATTCTGTTTATTTGTGTCCTTAATCTTCTCAGTCCCTTATTTTAACATTTTAAAAGTAATTTGGTAAAAAGACAAATATTTGAAGTAAACCATTTACCATTATTATTTGTTGTGTGGGTTGTAATTCAACAACAAGTGTTCTCAACTGTCCATTTCAGCTGCAATGAGTCCATTTAATGTGTCCCTTAATGCATGTTTGCCTCTGAATTACAAGTGGCCAGTATTCATGCTGCTGCTTTTAAATAATAAATTATAGCAGTCCTCATCTATACATGGAGAGCTGGAGGGAGGATATGTCTTCTTTGGTGATTACTAGTCATTTGAAGTCCTTGTCCCCCACTGGGACATAATACCACATTTCCACATTTCACTTCCTATCTCCTTTAGTCATTGAAAGTCAGTCAGCTTTCCTCCCTGTGATAATGCTTAATTGACCTGGAGGAAACATGGTCAATTTCTCTTTGTATGGCCATGATCCACCTCCTGAGCACCTCCAACAGTTCATGTGAAGCAAGTTTCATTTAGGTTATATGTCAGAAGTCTGTCTGTGGCCTTGTCAGTGAGGGAAAAGTTTAGGTTTTTAATTATATTTGGTTTGAAATGTCATGAAAATTGGTCTTTTTAAAATATAATCAATCAATTGATTCTCATTGTCATTGCATTGTTAGCAACTTAAAGCTCTTGGTGACTCAGGACACCCTGAATTAATTTCGGTACTTTCGTAGTAAAAGCATGTAGTTGCTAACTGAAGTGAAGTGAAGTTCAGTTTTGCAATAAAAGAAAATCATTTTTTCGGCCTCTGTGCTTGAGGCACCTGTTTTCAGGTTGTCAGTTTGTCTGTGTTTCATGTGAATATGTTCTTTTTTGGTACAAACATTCACTTGGAAACAAAGACAAATTAGATGGTTCATTTTCAGGGGTCAAAGGTCAAGATCGCTGTGACACCACAATGACCATTTTTAGCCTCATGAAGACAATATCTCTGGAACACCACTGGTGAAATCTCCTGAACTCAAAGATAATTCGTGGTTGAAGGTCAAATTTCATGGTCGCGGTGACCTAATGTTATTCTAAACGTGATATATGATGAACAGCCATTACACCTGGCACGAACATTGACTTGGAAACAAGCATGACCTAATTAGAACTGGGAGGTCAGAGGTCAAGGTCACTTAGGCCTCTTGAACATAATAGTTTAAATATACTGTTGCAGAATTTCTTCAAGTTTTGACCAGTTGGACTCAAAGATGAACTAATTAGATTTCAGGGGTCAAAGGTCACTCTGACCGCATGAGTCTGGACTGTGAGAAGTGGACTGAAACTGTGCTGGTCAACGGAGAAATGGTAAAAATTCTACTGGATTTCCCAGTGAAGCATCAGTGTTGTTAATTGTTTCCTGTCATATTTAATTCAAATCAAACTGCTCTTTCGATGAAGTGCCTTTATATGTTGTTGTTGCTTGTCTTGGAGATTTCAACGCCAGTCTTACAACAAATGTAATAAACCAACACAATGGCAGAGGCTGTGTGGGCGTTGAGTCTGTGTGTCAAGTCATAACGCTCCATTTGCAGGTCAAGGTTGAGTTTACAGGTTGATGGAGTGTATTTACTTCCCCTAAAGTGTAGGTGGTTTGTTTGTTTGTGTGTTTGCAGAATATGGGGGAGGGGATGACGGCGAAGCTGCATATAACTAATCTTCCTTTTTTTCTCTCTCATTTTGTGGCTCCCAGGGTAAAGCTGCTGCTGAGGAAGCTGCATGAAAGCTGGACACAATCATCTTTGTCGACACGACAGTTGAAAGTTCATGGGAAAGACGACGCCTGGATGCAGAGACGCCAACACACAAGCATTTAAAGCGGGGAACCACTTGGGGGAGAAAGACAATTTGCTGATGACGGCATTTCAGTTGAAATTTGTATATACCTGCCAAAACCACATGGATCTCAAACACTAATCTGCACACAGACTGGATAACTAGAAAATGTCCTCGTCTTGTTTTGATGGCGATCATGTAATTGCACAGTTCTGGCTTTCCAGTATCATCAAAGACACAAGACGTGGCCAAGTTTCAATACAAACCTCAATTTAAAAGGCTCCGTGCAGACTTCGGAATAGATAAGAGCAACAACAAGCAAACCTTTGTATCTGTCGTCATCATCTTCCTCCATGCAGCTCCCGCTTGGCTTTATTGAAGAGGAGGAGCCCATTAAAGAATTCGAGAGATAGGAGGGTTTGGTCTGAAGGTGTTGTTAGCGGCTGGCTGCTGGTTGGAAAAGAGATAAGAGTGCTGGGAAGAGAGGAAGGAAGTGACTGTCTGACGGGAGCTGAATACAAATTAGGAATCATCTCTCCTGCAGCTACACCAGGGAGGCGAGAGAGATGAGCGAAATGGACAAATAAGTAGGTTTCAATTATATGAGCATTAGTGTAAACTGTCGCTAAACATTGATGACGTCACATTGCTATGTACAGGATGGGAAATGAAGGAAAATGTTGTCTTAGCTACTGAAAGGAGGATAAAAAACCACCAGAGAACCTTCCTCTGCGCCATGTCTGAATCGATCTGTGCACAATTTCAAATTATACTTCAGAGGCTCTACCAAACCTTCTAGAAATAAGGTTTTAAGAGGAGCACAGGTGAGATGGAGCTGGATAACAGCTCCCTGGACTACTTCACCAGCAACTTCACAGAGATCCCCAACGCCTCCACCTCTCCGCCCCCCTGGAGCGAGGCCACACTACTCGGCCTGCAAGCCTCCCTCTCTGCGCTGCTCGCTGTCGTAACCTTGGCCACCGTGCTTTCGAACGCCTTCGTCGTCGCCACCATCTTTCTGACCAGGAAGCTCCACACTCCTGCCAACTTCCTGATTGGCTCCCTGGCCGTCACAGACCTGCTGGTGTCTATTTTAGTCATGCCGATCAGCATCGTCTACACCGTGAGCAAGACGTGGTCTCTGGGGCAGATTGTGTGTGACATCTGGCTGTCGTCCGACATCACCTTCTGCACGGCCTCCATCTTACACTTGTGTGTGATCGCGCTGGATCGCTACTGGGCCATCACAGACGCTCTGGAGTACTCTAAGCGGCGCACCATGCGGCGGGCGGCGATCATGGTTGGGGTGGTGTGGGTGATCTCAATATCAATTTCCATGCCTCCACTTTTCTGGCGGCAGTCCAAAGCCCACGAAGAGCTGACTGAGTGCGTGGTGAATACAGATCAGATCTCTTATACCCTATACTCCACCTTTGGCGCCTTCTACGTTCCCACAGTGCTTCTCATCATACTGTACGGACGGATCTATGTTGCCGCCCGCTCCCGCATCTTCAAAACGCCTTCGTCCTCTGGGAAGCGTTTCACCACTGCACAGCTCATCCAGACATCTGCAGGCTCCTCTCTCTGTTCTCTTAATTCTGCCTCCAACCAGGAAGCACACCTACAATCCGACAGCACGGGGGGTGGCGGAGGAGGGTCGCCTCTGTTCGTGAACATGGTGAAAGTGAAGCTGGCAGACAGCGTGGTGGAGAGGAAACGTCTGTGCGCGGCGCGGGAGAGGAAAGCGACCAAAACTCTGGGCATCATCCTGGGCGCGTTCATCATCTGCTGGCTGCCGTTCTTTGTCGGCACGCTCGTCTTGGCCATATGTAAAAACTGCTGGTTCGACCTGGTGCTTTTTGATATTTTCACCTGGCTGGGATACCTGAACTCCCTCATCAACCCCGTGATCTACACCATCTTCAACGATGAGTTCAAACAGGCTTTTCAAAAACTCATCAAATTCAGACGGTGCTCCTGAAAAACCTTTCCACTGGATTTAAAACTGACATCTCAAGGAAAACAGGGAGACAAAGACAAATAAGATAGTGGATAATAATAATAATAATGAAAGTACTGTGCACTTAAATGTCCCATCGTGTAAACACATTTTACGTGTAAGATGTTTTTTATTTTGTAGAAACAGCTCCATGCCATAGCTCTTAACAATATATCCATCATATAGACTTATGCATGCATGCTTAAATAGATACAAATCTTTATTCCCAAGGATTATGGGACTCTTCTTACTGTAAAGAGATAAAAGAAAGAGATTTAAAGTTTATTTCGTGTCACAGGAACATTGCTGACATTTCTTGAACAAAAGCAAAGATTTAAAAAGACTAAAGATGGATGATGTAAGTGTATGAAAAGAGTTAACTCAGAGGGACAGGATTTAATCCAGCGGAAATGAAAAGCCATGAGATCTACATGTATGTTATTATGTCTTAATCTCTGTGTCTGTACGATGCTGCTCCCATAAAATGTTCCTGTGGTACAGTAAAGACCGTAGACTCAAACCTCCAGAGATTCAGTACAAATATCTTTATATGTGCAATAATACTTGAAAATGGTGTGTGTGAGTGCCGCTGTGCGTGCGTGTTTGCATTACTTTACTGTAATATATGTGTGTTTGAAGAGGAAGTGATTTCGTCATTACAGACTGAAAAACAGCATTTCCACTCTATCTCTGAATATTGAGCAGCATGTGATTTCCACAGTGGAAAAATATGTCATGTTCTGCCTCCTGTATGCTCCACACCAGGCACCACGCCTCACCTGAATGTGGCAGACATTTTCCTGTTTTCCTAACATTTTCCACACTTCTGATCCAGACAGTCTCCTGCTGCGTTCTTCATATTCAAATATAGACCTAAGTTTCTGGCTTTATAGTTTCTCAGCTGTTGCATTCACATGATAAAAGAGGCAGCGTACAGCAGGCTTGGTATCTGTTCACCCCACAGATGTGCATTAGACCAGAGTCAACCATCTCTGCCTCTGGAGCAGCAACACAGTGTGACCTAATGGACCTCCTTCTGTTTCTACCATCAATTCTTTATGTGTGCCTCTCAGAGAAGCGGCTGGATACACATGTGAACCCCTTTGCTGTTGGAATCTGAGTCTCTCCATCGGTGTTCTCCAGATCCTCCAGCTTCCTCTCACTTTCTCTGCTCTGTGAGCATCTGGGTGACGGTGTAGAAAGTGCTGTCGCAGCTGGGTTATGACTTTCCTCCAACCCTAGAATGTGTTTCAGGTGCAGCAATGTTTGAAGTTTTTTTGAAAACCTCTTCTCGAGAAAGTTCATAGTTGACCCCCGACAAGTTTGTATGGGATGAGCGGGTGTCCAGAAAACTGAAACACAGACAGAGATTTCTCCTTTTATATTTAGACAATCGTCATGGAAGAGTGTTAAGTTAATCCCACTGTGAGTGTGACTAGCTCAATGAATGTGCTCTCTGAGTTTAAAGGTGGGTCACATTTAACAGCGTTAGACAAATAAAACCTAATTATTCAGAATACAGCATTAAAGATATCACAATTAGCTCAACAGCTATTGATTTTTGCCTCTGGGAATAGCTGGGGCGCACAAACGTGTCTCAATTAATCAGAATAATCTAAACCAAACTGAAACAAATTACAATAGAGGAGCTTGCATCCGTGCAAAGATAAGACACAAAAAAGCTGAGTTGGTTCAGTAAAAGCTGTGCAATCGTTACATCTGAAATTTAAATCAGCTTGCATGTGTCTCTCTCCATTCTGAACTATTAAATAAAGGTTAAAATGCCAGAAATGTAGATGCCTAAAAAACGAACAGGAGCCAAAAGTAGCTCTGTCACTCCAAATCAGCACAGATAAGAGATGGCTTTTGATAATGTTTACGCCGTCCTGAGCAATGGAACTAAAAGGTCAGGACGCACTTAACCTGCGGGATGGCGACTGTCACTTCTTGACTCGTGTGAGGAGTAAAAGCCGAAAGGGAGCACAGAGGAGAACAGATGGAGGAGGAGATGTGAAAGAAAAGACAGCAACAGACCTGCAAGCAAACACAATTAGCCGACAGATCGTGAGACAGTGTGACGCAAGTCAGGTCAAAGGCTAATGAGGTGTCACTTAAACAGACATCTTAGATTGTTTAGCCCCCTGAAAGTAAATGTTTAACAGTATCAACTCCATATCTGCTGCTTTGAGCTGATACAGAGAGTGAAGCTAAGTAAAAAGTAGATGATAAAAAAATGAAATTGAGACAAATGAAAATAAACTTCTACTTAATTAGATTGAATGTAAATGCAAAACGAAGCAGCCTCATCATAAACTGCGGTGGTTCGATTATCCACCGAGCCTCCGCTGCTTTGATTGACGGACACACACAGCTGCCCTCACATTTGTTGTTGGCGTTGTGTTAGTGTGAGCCAGTAAAAATCAGACTCCCTCACCTTTTTCATCATTTTCAATATATCTATGTATGGTGTTGAAACCAAAATTCGTCCTTATATAAATTCTCATATGGTTCATAGTTGGGATTATCGCTTCGGCAGAGCTCACTGGTTTTCTCCAATTTAATCTAACAAAGGAACAATTACCAATGTTTTCTTATAATGCCAAATGAAAATGATTACAAGTGAATAATTACAGTCAGGGTCCTTTCAAAGGACTTTGGAGGCAAAAGGATCCTTAAGGGCCCTATAGCAATACCCCCCCCCCCACCTTAGCAATCTTCAAACAGTTCTCTTATAATTGTACAAGTATCTACATCATGTTGGAGGAGGAGTTAATCAACCAAGATGTACTTAAAAACGACAGAAACCATCTTTGTGTAGTTTATATTCTATGCCTTTTTATTCTGGTCAATATCCCACCTACTAACACGGAGGAGGCATGGTTTATATCCTATGCTGTAGGCAGCCCCCAGGTATAGATATTTTAGCCTGGACCAAAGTGGTCGTCCAAACAAGAGGCATAAACATGGTTCGTGCTTGCCCCTTTAGCATGGCTGCAAAAAAAAGAGCCCAAGTTGAGATGTCACATTTTTAATTCAGAGATTTGCTTTCAGAATGCCTCTTTAACCTGAATATGAATGTCCTCTTAGAGATAAGCCTGTCGAGTGTTTCCCTCTGACTCCTCTGAGTGAGAATAGAGTTGCAGTAGGTCAGAAAGAAAGGGTACATTACATAAAGTATGCATTGGTTTCAACATAAGATGGAGTGCTGCTCACAACCGCCTCACATTTTGATTAACAGGCGCATATGCAGTCTGACAAGCCTGCCTCCACCTACACACATACACAGACACTTAGGCTGCACTGTCCACGTATGCATATTCAATGTGGTCCTCTGCTTCCTATGTATCCACACTCGCACACGGTCACCGAGACACCTCCGCTAACATACATGATCGCAAACACGGGGGATAAATGATTCAAGAGGCTCGATGAATATTTTATATTTCATGTCTTGTGCAACACAGTCAAATCCCTCCACATGTACTGTTAAGGCACATAGGAAACTGTGGTAACTCAAAGGAGGATGTGCAGGTTCCAATTATTAATTATAGTGATTCAACACTGACACTTCTGCAAAAGAGAAATTCTGCTTTAATACAGAAATTAAAGAAATATCGAAGATGATGAGGCAGAGTCACCAAAGAATTAATAAAACCACCCACGCATGTGAAATAATCAATCACCAGTGGATCAAATGCATCTCTAGGAGAAACTGTGATACTTGTGATCAGAGATTTTTCAAATTAATGAAACAAGCTAAGAGCAAGATCAGTATCTTTAGTATAGAACTAATCAGAATGCAAATGAATATCTAATGCTGGAAGATTGTTTCAAAGATCACTTTGTTCTTTCCTCTCTGCCGTTTGTGTATCAACACAGCCAACAGTTTTTCCAACACACACCAAGAATTCATGTTTTATGCATGAAACCGGAGTAGCATGAGTCCAAAAAAACATTTGTTTAAAACATGTTTGAGCTTCAGACACATTCTTTTTTTCTAAGGTGTCATGGTTGATCTAAACGGCTACAAAGTCCACAAGGTCATCGCTTCTGTTCGTTCACCGAGTCGCCAGCTGTGCAATTTCCAACGCTGACTGACTTTGATTTTTGAGGCAGGATATCGAAAGAAAGAGTTAAACAATCGGGCAGTGCAATGAAATCCACAGAATGGACTGAAGGTTAACCAAGCAAAGAAATGGACTGCGTGGTTTGTCGACAGAAGGATTAAAAACATGATAAATAGCTGAAGGGGTGGAATTTGGAGCCGAGAGAACCATTCTTCCTTCTGTTGGAAATCAAAACAATAAATCATACTGGTGCAATATTAGAATAAAGTGTAGTGATATATACATGGTATAGAGATGTAGTGTTAGGAGAGCCAAGGTATTAATAAAATGTTAAGAGTACAGCTGTCAGTGATACAGAAGAGATTTTATAGTCGTCAGCAAGTGATGTTATATTGTTGGTAAAAAAAGAGAAATTAGACTGGATGGATGATGTAAAATACATTTTAAAGAGATATCTATAAGCAGTATCTGTTAAACCTTTAAACTAAATTTTACAACTATTCTTTGATGAAATACATTAATATTGTTTTCAATGTCTCATTTATCACCAAATTTATAAAAAGATCTACATTTATAAATTAGATACGGCTCATAGCCAGAACCTACGACCTTGCACGTCAATGATTACATAGAGCTAACCCATTATGACAGATCTTAAATCAAAGGTGGGCAGCCCCTACAACCAGTGGCTGCTTATGAGTGGGGATTTGGAAAGCTGCTCTCATTTTCAAAGTTATGCTGAAACCTCTAAACCACCACATCTTCTACCATTCTGAGACATCCTCCAACGTCTCCTGACCCTCGAAACCTCCATGTCCTCAGACAGGCCTGCTTTAGCTTTTGGTTGGCTCACACACACACTTTACAAGTACAGGGCTTCTACCCGTGGAGTTTCCTGGCGGCTTAGACCACAGTCGTCTATGTCAGCGGTTTGAACGACTCAGAACAATCCTGATCGTGGCGTCAGGTAACTCTGGAGGCGAGAATCCCTCAACTTCATATGACATTTATGTTGCAAAAGGGTGTGTGCTGCTACTGGAGGCGTCGCTCATACCTAGATAATCTAGATAATTTAGCTCTAGCTAGCTAATTGGAATGTGTGTGTGAGTGTGTTCATCCAAGTTGCAACCTACTGTGACATCACCCATTGGGCTGTGGACTGTTCTTTTGAAGTTTGGTATTTTGACGAGCGCCATCTTGGTTTATTGAAACCAGAAGTAGCCATTTTGAAGGAGCAGTGGGTGGAGACGATTGAGACCATAAACTCTGTATGTGCATGTTAACTGACGTTATTTATCAAATGAGAAACGGGGTCATTTTCTCATAGACTTCAAGCATATGATTTTACCAACCAAGAGAATACAGATTATAGGCTCTGTTTTGACTTTACTTCACCAGACCTGTGGTCATACGGCCATTTTTATAAACAGCCA